TTTCCCTGTCCCCTAAGTGTGAATTTGTAGCATGATTGTATAAACCTCTATGTAGGAAATGGAGAACCCTTGCTCTCTGAAATGTTAAGCTCTAACCAATCCATTTCTGTGCCCTTTAGGCTAGTATGTCTAAACTTATTTTCTTGTTATATATTTAAAACTTCCCTCTATACTATAGGTTTTGTGGCATCCCATGGTCAGGTGGAGAGAAAGCGGCCCTTGCAGAACTGTACTGTAACTGTTTTTCTTTTATAAATATTATTTCCAGAGGACTGATTGTACACAGGGCTTGTAATAAAATTTTAACACTGTGCTGTGAAACCATGATGGAGAATCTCCACTGAAGGCTACTTCAAAGACACCTGACAGTGGAGTCTTAAATCTTTTACTTTATTTCTTGTTTCTAAGTACATTAAACCTAATTGTCACCCTTTCATTCTGTTTCAGCCTCCTGTATAAGAAGTACCATATTTTCTGCCCATCATACTTTGTAATAAAATTTGAACATGTATAAATGGTGTCTTACTCCATTATTGTGTTGCTAAGAGAAATACATGAGCCTGGGTGATTTTATAAAAAAAAATATAGATCCATTCAGCTCATGGTTTGGAGACCCAACTTCTGGTTAGGCTATAGTGTGGCAGAGAGCAGGATCTTTTTGAGAGGTTTTTACTGTGGGGTATGTGCACTTGCCGAAAAGACAGAGAGAAACAGGGAGATGGAAAGTGAGAAATCATCCCCAGAGGGGATGGTCACACTGCAATCCCTTCTCCATTCTCCTCTCGGGATTTTGGGCACACACACGTGCCTGACATGAGTTTTAAGCTGCTGGGTCTGGTACTCAAACTGTGGTTAACTATGTGGGAGTCCAGCAACATAACCATTATGCCATCTGCTAATCCAGAGGGTAGTATCTTAAGTAGAGCATAGTCTAGTCTGTATCATGTGGCTTCAGCCTGCCTCATTTCCTCTCCTTGTACATCAGAATTCATGGAGGCCCTTTCCTAATGTTAATATCACCTGCAAAGACCGTACCCTGGGACACCATGAAGGAATTAAGTTTCACTTAGCAATACAATCAAATTCCAACACATGGGTTTGGGGGAGACATCCAGAATCCAAAACACTAACTCAGGGAACAAACTGTTTTCCAAACCTTAATGAATAGACTGAATTTATTTTTGTGATTAATTCAGTTAATTTTCCATTTTGTCTCTGTGGTCATGTTCTGGCTGGGGGATTAGACGCCTAAGCCGATCCATCACATCTGATAGCCTCATTCTTCACTTTTTATCACCTGTTTGGAGATCACTTGTTACTCAACAGAACAGAGCACCTACTCTATGCGTGGGGCTGTACCCCTCAAACGGTTTGCACTCTACCAGAGAAGACCTCCAGTAAATACTAGCACTGTTGTGCAATAGCGGGTGTGTTTAGCCATAGTGGTAGCCTGGAGAGAAACGTGATCATCTTTGCCCTGGTGGGCAGTCTTCCTTGTTGCAAGTAGTCAAAATGCTTGATTTTGTTAGATTACATATTCCTTTGCAACAACAGAACATTTACCATTCTGCACCTGCTCAGAGTTAGGAAGCAATTTGAAAGCAAAATCAGTTTCATAACTCAAACGTAGCTCGACTACATTACCGTGGGAAATAAAGTCCGGCACTCCCCCAACCAACTGCGAATAACTGAGCCCTAGTTAACACTTCCTCGAGGTTTCACAAGGGCAAGAAGGGAGGCGAGTACCGGACGGCTGCGGAACGAACTTTGCGGGCGGTAGGGACTTTTTAGGAAACGGACCCGGAAACGGAAGTGTGCTTCACAATCCAGGGTCCCCCATACCCGACTGTTGTGGGCACTGCGGGGTCATACGCGCTTGGGCTGCCCCTATCCAGCCCTAGCTTTTGGGTCTTTGGTGACCGCGCGCTCCGGACCTTTTTGCTATGACGACGAATCCGACAGGCTGACTTTGGCAGTTGGTATTTGCAGCCCAGAGTCTGGAGCGATGGTGGCTTGGACCTTCGGCAGCCTCAGCAGGGCCGCTGCCCGATGCTCCCGGGTGCTAGGTTCCGGGGTCCGGGCGGCTCCGCGCGCCCCACTGCCCTTCCAGCCCGAGTTCCCCGGCTGCGGCTCCACTCCCGACAGGACGCTGCACCTCACCGTGACGGTCCCCGCCGGCCACAACAAGTGGTCCAAAGTCCGGCATATCAAGGGTCCCAAGGACATGGAAAGGAGTCGTATCTTTACCAAACTGTGTCTGAACATCCGCCTGGCGGTTAAAGGTGAGACCCTGACGGTCATCCGCCGCGGCCGCCGCTGATTTCTCTGAGCCCAAGGTCTCGCTTGCCTCCCGGAGGGACGCTTCCCAATGCATGACCCTTCGTGTTCCCTTCCAGTTCTCCCACCGTTTCCCACCTCATATAAAATGTTGAAACCCCTACCTACGTTGGATGTCCCTGTTTACCTTTCCAGACACTAGATCTGCCTGCTCATGAGGGAGTGACTCTAAGAAGATAAGAGAGTAAAAATGACTCTATCCTAGACAGTAGCTGAGTACTTAATAGAAACATATCCTAAGACTCAAATTAGATGTGTCAGTCTCCTGAAGAGAGAAACCATTGCCTCTGTAGGTATCTCTAGTAGCATTTAGGTTGTGGCAGGGGCATTGAGTAAAGCTTTTTATTTTTATTTTTCCTTCTTACCAGAGGGTGCTTGCTCTCACAGGAGAGAGACAGAGAGAGGGAGAAAGTTAGAAAGCAGCCCCCATGGGTGAGGCAAGAGAGAGAGAAAGAGGGAAAGCTAGAAAAATAGAAAGCAATCCCTCTCCCTTCATGGGTCATGGCACAATTCCTTTTCCATTTCTCCCTCTTCAGAATTCTGGGTGCACACATGCACGTATACCAGTGTAGTTTTCCAACTGCTGGTCTGAGGCTTGGACAGTATAGTGGGCCATGTGTGATCCAGCCGCTTTAACTACCACACCAATAGCTAACCCCCAGTAAAGCTGTTACTTGCAGGGCCTAGTTTGCTACATCAGGGTGTTCTGAGGCACATTCGAAAGGTGGCATTGCAACCATGCCTTTTCTCACTTGTGTAGCCACCCTAAAAAGGCTTTTTTCTATTTAGTGTCAGACACCTGTAGAAGTAGAGAAAAAGTCCTGTGAAAAACATGGGTGGCCCGTAAACTGGAAGTCACACGCCCACCATGGTTCAAGTCCCCAACTTGTGTGGGTGCCCAGGATCCTAGGTGGCTGGAGGAGGGAGATAGCTGTGTGACAAAACCTTCTCTGTGTGGTGAGGGCTGAGGGGAATGTTTCTGTCTTGCTTGCACATGTGCACATGCATGCATGATGTCATGAATAAAACAAAACATAAATAAAATGTAGACTCTAGTTAGGAAGAATTGGTTTCTACCATTGAGCAATTTAGAACTGTTGAACAAGTGGCTTAATTTGGCTGAGTTTCAGTTTCCTTTTCTGGAAAGCAGGGATAATGTTCTTCTTGAGGTAGTTTAGGGCACATAGTAGGCATTCAATTCATGTTAATTTACCCCTGCAACTCATGCCTGATATTTCTCTTTGCTTTCTTTTCTTCTAAATTCTTGATATTAAGTTCAACCACAGTATAGAGTGCCATGTATTAGTAATACAAAACCAATGAGATACAACTCTTACTCTCAGAGACAGTGAGCATGATTCAGTGTCAATATGAGGATCTCAATAATTGTGCACAAAGCAGTAGAGTAAGAGCAGGAGATACTGCCATTTACGTGCCTTACCTCTTCCCGTGGTGTAAAGTGGACTCCACTGAAGCCTAACAGAATGATGAAGACAGTGAATTAGAAACGTCTTTTGCAAGATAGTTATCCATAGCCTGTTAAACTCAGGGTAACATGTTCTAAACTAACAGCTGAGTGATGACTTGCCACTCAGGGAGAAGGAGTTGGAAATCTCTTTTGTCTTCCATGTTGTAACGTCTTTCCTCACTCTTTTCTCTACCTCAGAGGGAGGCCCCAACCCTGAGCTCAACAGCAACCTGGCCAGCATCCTAGAGGTGTGTCGCAGCAAGCACATGCCCAAGTCAACGATTGAGGCAGCACTGAAAGTGGAGGTGTGTCCTCAGCTTGACATCCTTGTTACTGATCGCAGCCTGCACAGAGCCCATGTCTGGAAGGCCATCAAACACTCCAGAAACCATCAGAGAGAATGGTAGCAGTGTGGTGAACCTGAGGCCTTTGGGGGCTTTCTGCCCTTGGCCATTATTTATAGGAGCAGAATTGGGAATAGACTGAACGGGCAGTGCAACCCATAAAACACACAACCTGAGACGGGTCAGCCAAGTTGTGAGGAGACAGGGCAGGAGAAGGGGCACATTATGGAGAAAGCCCTCCGGCAGGTTGAGGGAAGGTTTGTTTTTCTCTTTCAAATGTGTCTGCCCTAAAGAAGTAAAGCCAGTAGTAATGGACAGGGAGAAGGTGGGGGTGAGAGTGATGGTGGGAGGGGCAGGGATGATGAGTTCTAGTGAGGGGACACATTTTCGTCTGGGACAAGTAGAAAGGGTCTGAGAAAGTAATTGTCTTTATAAAAGAAAAAAAAAAAAAAACTTTGAAATAGGGGGGGGGCGCTTGCCAAAGGAAAAAGACCCCCATGGGTGAGGCAAGAGAGAGAGAAAGAGGGAAAGCTAGAAAAATAGAAAGCAATCCCTCTCCCTTCATGGGTCATGGCACAATTCCTTTTCCATTTCTCCCTCTTCAGAATTCTGGGTGCACACATGCACGTATACCAGTGTAGTTTTCCAACTGCTGGTCTGAGGCTTGGACAGTATAGTGGGCCATGTGTGATCCAGCCGCTTTAACTACCACACCAATAGCTAACCCCCAGTAAAGCTGTTACTTGCAGGGCCTAGTTTGCTACATCAGGGTGTTCTGAGGCACATTCGAAAGGTGGCATTGCAACCATGCCTTTTCTCACTTGTGTAGCCACCCTAAAAAGGCTTTTTTCTATTTAGTGTCAGACACCTGTAGAAGTAGAGAAAAAGTCCTGTGAAAAACATGGGTGGCCCGTAAACTGGAAGTCACACGCCCACCATGGTTCAAGTCCCCAACTTGTGTGGGTGCCCAGGATCCTAGGTGGCTGGAGGAGGGAGATAGCTGTGTGACAAAACCTTCTCTGTGTGGTGAGGGCTGAGGGGAATGTTTCTGTCTTGCTTGCACATGTGCACATGCATGCATGATGTCATGAATAAAACAAAACATAAATAAAATGTAGACTCTAGTTAGGAAGAATTGGTTTCTACCATTGAGCAATTTAGAACTGTTGAACAAGTGGCTTAATTTGGCTGAGTTTCAGTTTCCTTTTCTGGAAAGCAGGGATAATGTTCTTCTTGAGGTAGTTTAGGGCACATAGTAGGCATTCAATTCATGTTAATTTACCCCTGCAACTCATGCCTGATATTTCTCTTTGCTTTCTTTTCTTCTAAATTCTTGATATTAAGTTCAACCACAGTATAGAGTGCCATGTATTAGCAATACAAAACCAATGAGATACAACTCTTACTCTCAGAGACAGTGAGCATGATTCAGTGTCAATATGAGGATCTCAATAATTGTGCACAAAGCAGTAGAGTAAGAGCAGGAGATACTGCCATTTACGTGCCTTACCTCTTCCCGTGGTGTAAAGTGGACTCCACTGAAGCCTAACAGAATGATGAAGACAGTGAATTAGAAACGTCTTTTGCAAGATAGTTATCCATAGCCTGTTAAACTCAGGGTAACATGTTCTAAACTAACAGCTGAGTGATGACTTGCCACTCAGGGAGAAGGAGTTGGAAATCTCTTTTGTCTTCCATGTTGTAACGTCTTTCCTCACTCTTTTCTCTACCTCAGAGGGAGGCCCCAACCCTGAGCTCAACAGCAACCTGGCCAGCATCCTAGAGGTGTGTCGCAGCAAGCACATGCCCAAGTCAACGATTGAGGCAGCACTGAAAGTGGAGGTGTGTCCTCAGCTTGACATTCTTGTTACTGATCGCAGCCTGCACAGAGCCTATGTCTGGAAGGCCATCAAACACTCCAGAAACCATCAGAGAGAATGGTAGCAGTGTGGTGAACCTGAGGCCTTTGGGGGCTTTCTGCCCTTGGCCATTATTTATAGGAGCAGAATTGGGAATAGACTGAACGGGCAGTGCAACCCATACAACACACAACCTGAGACGGGTCAGCCAAGTTGTGAGGAGACAGGGCAGGAGAAGGGGCACATTATGGAGAAAGCCCTCCGGCAGGGTGAGGGAAGGTTTGGCCCTAAAGAAGTAAAGCCAGTAGTAATGGACAGGGAGAAGGTGGGGGTGAGAGTGATGGTGGGAGGGGCAGGGATGATGAGTTCTAGTGAGGGGACACATTTTCGTCTGGGACAAGTAGAAAGGGTCTGAGAAAGTAATTGTCTTTATAAAAAAAAAAAAAAAAAAAACTTTGACATAGGGCGTGTGCGCTTGCCAAAGAGAAACAGAGACAGAGAGAGGGAAAGTGAGAAATCACTTCCTGGGGCGGGTAGCCACACTGCAGTTCCTTCTCCTCTATTCTCCTCAAGATTTGGGGCATGCCCACACATGCACCTGGCATGATTTTCAAGCCACGGAGTCCAGGACTCGAACCGTGGTTGGCCATGTGGGAATCCAGAGTCTTAAGCACTGCATCAAATGTTGGCCCTTCATCTTTTTTTTTTTTTTTTAAGTTTAGTTTTTTCATTTCTTTCTTTCATGAGAATGTGAGAGAAGGAGAGGTACCCTCAATGGGATTTTGCCATACCATGATCCTTCCCCCACCCTTCCAGCCAGCCAGGACTGGGGGTATGTTCATGTTAGCCAGGAATCTGAACCTGGATTTCCCTTGTGGCTTCAGTATTATGCAGCAGTGCCTTTACTGCCTGCACCACTGAGGCCGTGCCGTCAGCGATAATCACCTTAATAGCTAGTAGTTGTTGCGTGCTCACGCCAGGCCAAGTACTTTGATGAGAACTCTGTATGCATTAGCTTAGTGAATCCTCAGAACAATCATAAATGGAAACTGAGGCACAGAAAGGTTAAGTGACTTGACTGAGGTCACCAGAGTACAACAGACTAGAAACCAGACAGGTTCCAGAGCCTGTGCTCTAACCGTCATGGTGTAGGCCATGGTGCAGATAAGGCGGTGGAGACAGCACTTGCCCTCACTCATTGGCCCTTTATTTCCTCTATGAGAGAGGAAGTGGGACATCATCAGTTGAGAGTTTCTGGCGGGAAACTTGAGAAAGTAGTGCAGATTGGATGCCTGGACAGGGGATGGGTAGAGGCATAGGAAGATCAGAGGAAATTGGTCACCAGAGTTTTGGATTGTTTGTTTGAATGTTGACACCATGCCATTTTCAGAAAAGGCCCAGATGTGTGATTTCTCTGCAGCAGTAATTGATAGCCTAGGGGTAGGAGCCTTGAGACTTCACAGGTGTGCTTCCTACAGAATGGGGAACGGGGGATGAGTCTGGGTGGGAATGGCTGGGGGATAGATGTGGGACTCAACTGGGAAGGGGAAGAAGCAAAGCCGGGCAATGGCTGAATGGTTGTTCAGGAACCAAGGAGGCAGACTGCCTTCTATGTACTCACCTGAAAAGTGGTCTCAAGGCCCTCAGCTTAGAGAATGGGGACAAAATTAAGGACTTGAGAGCCCAGGCACCAGCCTAGGGAGCCTATCCCATGTGTTGACTTTGGTGCCTGTGGTTCTGGGCTGCTGTGCGGGAGGGAATTGGGAAACAGAAAAATGTGCTCGTGTCGTTTGTTTATTGCAGAAATCCAAGGGCACTTATTTGCTGTATGAGGGTCGAGGCCCAGGTGGCTCTTCTCTGCTCATTGAGGCATTATCTAACAGTGGCCCCAAGTGCCTGTCGGACATTAGACATATCCTGAACAAGAATGGGTAGGTGTGTGGGGTGGGGGTGGAGGTGGAATGGGATGGAGCTTTTGGGTGCCAGTTCTGTGCAAGGCAAGTACTGTGGATTCCTGGAAGCATACTTTCACCTTAGAAAATCCAGTGAGATCATTGGGTTTTCACTTATCATGTTCTGCACTAAGCAGGACTCATTCATAAGGTGTTAAAGGAAATCTTTGTCCCATTACCCTATCTGTAGTCATATAAGAATTAATTAAAATGTTTCACTAGGACTAGTTTTTTTTTTTTTTTTTTTTTTTTTTTTCCACTAGGACTAGTTTTTTTTTTTTTTTTATGTTTACTATTGGGCACTTTCACTTGCCAGAGAAATGAAAGAGAGAGAGAGACAGAGTGAGATAGCACCCTCTCTCCCCAGGGAAATGACCATTCTCAGGATCTTGGTACACACATCCAGCATTCAAGCCACTGAGTCTGGGACTTGAACTATGCCACTGGCCACGTGTGATCCAGCTGCCTACACACCACACCATGGGCTGGCCCCAGGACTGGAGCCATAATGGCACAATGAACAGTCTTTGCATCTCCAATTCTAATCAGGGCACAAAATAGAGGGTGGGGGCGGCCATTCCCTTGCCTAGTAGCTGCATTTACCCGTTTAGGAAGAGAACTGCTCCAGATCTGTATGTAGCCCATAGGCTGGGTGGGAGAGTGTCTGGATCCTGGGCTTTATGGAGGGTGATGGAGGCTAAGAGCCTGCCAGCATTTACTTATTCCAGCCCACTTCCCTCCCTGTCAGGGGGATGATGGCTGAAGGAGCTCGACACTCCTTTGACAAAAAGGGGGTTGTTGTAGTTGGAGTAGAGGACAGAGAGAAGAAAACTGTGAACCTTGAGCGTGCCCTGGAGCTAGCATTTGAAGCAGGAGCTGAGGATGTCAAGGAAACCGAAGATGAAGAAGAAAAGAACATTTTTAAAGTGAGTATGAGCCTTTGTGTTTGGTGGGCTTCCAAGAGGGCCCCTAATAGATGCATTCAGTCATGCCTCTCAGTTTCTTCCTTCCTGCACCCAGGTGACAAGTCACAGATGGCACAGACATTTATTAAGTGAACGCTGCATAGGGCCTACTGTGCACGGACTAATCAGATCATTACAGACGGTCTCTGCTAGTGATGAGCTTACACCCAGTGACCCATTGCAGTCGTTCCATTCAGGACAGTACATAGTTACCCAGCTTTGTCTTACTACCTCCTGGCTCCTCACCTCCCTGCTTTCCTTTCTCCCTAGTTTATTTGTGATGCCTCTTCATTGCATCAGGTGAGGAAGAAGCTGGACTCCCTGGGCTTGTGCTCTGTGTCCTGCACGCTCGAGTTCATCCCCAACTCAACAGTGCGGCTGACTGACCCTGACCTGGAGCAGGCTGCCCAGCTTATCCAGGCTCTCAGCAACCACGAGGATGTGATCCATGTCTATGACAACATTGAGTGACTAAGATGGACGTGCCTCTGGCCTCCTGCCTCCAGTGGCAGCCCATAATGGAGCACAGGCTTCTGTAGCCTTCTCTGAAACCGAAGAAGGTGGGGACCTAGCAGGTTAGGAAGCCTGAGGGAATCCCACTGTTCCCAGGGCTGCCTTTTCCAGCTGTGCTGATGTCCCAGGGTCTTCCCTGGACGAGTTTTCTGTTACCCTCCTGGAGGAAGGGTGGGACCAGCCAGCTGGTTTGACTCTGATCTCAGGTAGTTGGTCTTATGGGGATTTTAAGTGCCTCGGGTCCTGTGTACTGGAAACTGCTCTCGAACAATAACAGCAATTGATCTTGGTTCTTGCATTACTGTTGTGTGGCTCTTGAGTTTTCTTGAATCTGTGTCCAACTGTTGGGACCCTCTGGACTTCCAAGTCTATAGGCTTAGTTCTGCTACTCCAGTCTCAGGTCTGTTGGGTTCTTTTTTTTTTTTTTTTTTAAGAATTGTTTATTTTAATTTTATTTATTATCAATTTGACCAGAGAGAAATAGAAAGAGAGAGAGAGCGCACAAGTCATGAGGTCTAGGACTTAAACTGTGGTCAGCCATCTAGGAGTCCAACACCTTAACCACCACACCACCTGCCAGCCCCCCGGTCTCTTTGTTTTTTTGACTGGCCACAGAGATGTAGCTGTATAGGCACTCTGTTCTGATACAGGTCTGATGACCTGAGCCTGCTATTCTTTCAGGCAACCTCTGTTTCTTGAACACTCACAGTGTACCAGAAAGCAGACTTCCCTAGAGCCCTTCTGGTGCTCCTCGTTAGATCCTGCTGTAATATGTCAGACCTCAGAGGGAAGTCAGGTCTGCTCTCTCTCAGCACTGCCCCGGGCCATGTGAGCTGCTATGCTGCATCTTCATTCTCTTTGTATGGTCTCTGCCCTGCTTCATCAGAGAGCCCAAGGCTCTAGGCTAGGAGGAAATCAGGCGCCATTGATAAAGGACTCCCTGGGTCTTGCTTTGCCCGGGCTCCTGTGTGTTCTGAGGTTGGTCAGAGTGTGCCTGTTCACAGATGGGGCTGCTGTCCAGAAAGCCTACCCTAAGCTGGTTTCAAAAGCTGCTTAGTCCCCAGAATGTCTTACCCCCGCTCCATTTCATTGCTGATGCCAAGTGTTGGGGCACCAGGACCTGGAGAGGAAACAAGAACAGGAGGAAGAGTGAAGGACTGGGTGAAGCCTGGCCAAGTGGGAACAGGGCCCTTGTTACCTTTGCTTCTGGGTTGAGAGTGGCCAGGAGTGCCAACCACCTGTGCCTGAGCTTGTCCCGCACATCAGGCCTGTAGCTCTTTGGCCCGGGCTCCTGTGTGTTCTGAGGTTGGTCAGAGTGTGCCTGTTCAGATGGGGCTGCTGTCCAGAAAGCCTACCCTAAGCTGGTTTCAAAAGCTGCTTAGTCCCCAGAATGTCTTACCCCCGCTCCATTTCATTGCTGATGCCAAGTGTTGGGGCACCAGGACCTGGAGAGGAAACAAGAACAGGAGGAAGAGTGAAGGACTGGGTGAAGCCTGGCCAAGTGGGAACAGGGCCCTTGTTACCTTTGCTTCTGGGTTGAGAGTGGCCAGGAGTGCCAACCACCTGTGCCTGAGCTTGTCCCGCACATCAGGCCTGTAGCTCTTTGATTCTAGTTATCATACATCTACTTAAAATTGTTTAAACCAGTACTGAGCTCAGAGTAGTTTTTCTGAAGGAGCCTTACGTAAATTAGGGTGGAAAAGAACTAAACCAAACTGACTACAAATGCTCATTTCAACTTCAAGGAAGAACGGGTTACTAATTCCCAGCGACTTCAGCAGCTAGAGAGCAAGAGCTAAGGAGGTAAGGGGAGGAAAACCAGGGAGAGAACGCACCATCATGCCACAGCGCGTGCTCTTTTACCTCACTTCCTAATCACAGTATCACCTGGGATTCTCTAGTTTTTATAGAAGATCATTTGTTGAAGAGGCCAAAGGTCAGGGTTCACGGCCATTAAAACAGGGCAACATAAAGTTGATATGCTGCTTCATAATTCATAGGATACTTTTATGTGTCATTTATTTGATTTGCCCAACAACTCTATAAAAATAGGCCCAGGGAGAGCTTCTGAGTTGGTGAACATGCATTGGTGCTAGGATGGTGGCATTCCCTGCCCCTCCCCTCACACTTACCCCTTCATTTGTCCATTCCTGAGCTGTGTACCCTTTATAATAAACCAGTAAACATAAGTAAAATTTTTTTTTTTTTTAAGAAAAACGAGGCGAAGTATTTTATGCACAGATGATTTCATACCAAGCAGGTGAGAATTGGTCTAATACTGCATCTTTTTTTTTTTTTTTTGGAGAGATTTTTAACTGTAGGGCGCGTGCGCTCACCAGACAGACAGAGAGAGACATAGAGACAGAAAGCGAGAAATCACCCCCCAGGGGGGATGGTCACGCCGCAATCCCTTCTCCTCCATTCTCCTCTCGGGATCTTGGGCACGCATGCACACGCACCCGGCGTGAGTTTTAAGCCACCGGGTCTGGGACATGAACCGCGGTCGACTACGTGAGAGTCCAGCGACATAGCCATTACGCTAACTGCTGGTTCCCTAATACTGCATCTTATGTGGAAAGACCTTGATTTATAAAATAGACTGTTTTTGAAATGTTAAATGTAAGTTAATTTTGAAGAATCTGGTCATTTCTAATCTGAGAAATCTGTACTAAGGGAAGTAGGAAGAGTACTGACCTGTACTCTTGAAGGACATTTGACTGGCCATATGAGTAGGCCCCCACCAATCTAGTAGGACTTATTAATAAAAAGACTGTCGTGTAACCCATTTCCTTATGTCAAGGGATGCTTGGAGTGCCCTGTGGTGGCGGTTCCTGTGAAGATGGCTCTGCACTGACCCCTGGTGGCGCAGTGCGGTCCTTCTGCAGTCAACATAGAAAAGGCAGGCATGAATGTCTTGCTTAAACCTGTTGTGCTGTTTCTAGATCTGGTAAAGAGACCCTGAACTACATGGGTTAAATGTTTAAATAACTTTAATGGAATTGTTAAGTAAAGATGGTCTCATCCTGTGATAAGGTATAATGCTGCCACCAGACATTATTTTTCAAAGAATATTTATGTCAAAGAAAATATTTGTAATATAATGTTAAAGAGAAAAATGATGCAAAACTATAGGTATAGTATGATGTATATATATATATATATATACACTTTTTAAGACTAGAAGGAAATGTACCAAAATATCAAAACCAGCTTTCTTGGGGTGGTGATGTTATTACTGAGTTTTAAGAATTATTTTATTTGACTTTATTTATTTATTTTAATTTGACCAGAGAGGGACAGAGTGAGAGAGAGAGAGAAAGAAAGTGAGAAAGCAAGCCTTCAAGTCTGGGATTCGAACCACAGTCAGCCATGTGGTAGCGCAGCACCCTTAACCACTGCACCATCTGCTGGCCCCTGAGTTTTTATTTTCTATAATCATATATTACTTTTATCAGGGAAAATACTTCAAAGACAAAAGGGAAACTATGCATATTATTGTTCACCTGGGAAGACAGCATCTGAGAAGCCAGAGTCAGGCACACCTTAAAGTCTGAGGAGTCGGGTATAGGCTTGCTTTGTCCTACCTTTGGCTATTGTATTTGCAATACTAGATCATGCAAGGCCTTGAAGCTGGGCTTGGGCTTACTTCCAAGTGTCCTTTTGGCTGGATGGAAGTGTCCGCTATAGGCTCTGTCCACAGTCTTGACTCTTACAGGAAGCACTCATGTGCATAGCCACCTTCCCTGTCAGAGGCTCTGGCTGAATCAAAGAGGAACAGTGAAGGGTCTGTCCGCAACCACCTGTGGAAATTCAACTTCATGGCTGAGTTACTTTTTTTTTTCTCTGAAACTTACAGCAGTCAATAAAGCTTCAAATTCTAAGAGCCCCTAACTCGCAGACTTTTATTTTAATTCCTTATAGACTCCTCTAGAGACATTGTATGAAGGAAAAATGAGTCAATAGGTCTGGCAAAAGACAATGCTGTGGTAGATGCCACACTAGCCTTAGCTGAAATCACTTTTTTCCCCTTTCCCCTTTCCCCTTTCCTTCCTTCCTTCCTTCCTTCCTTCCTTCCTTCCTTTCTTTCTTTCTTTCTTTCTTTCTTTCTTTCTTTCTTTCTTTCTTTCTTTTTTTTTAATTTTCTGTTGGGTATATGTGCTTACCAAAGAGAGAGATGAAAAGTACCCTCTAGGGGTATGGTCATGTGCAATCCTTTTTCCTCCATTCTTTTAGGATTTTGGCACACATGCACACATACACACCTAGTATATTATTTAAGCCATTGGTTGCAAGACTCAAACTTTGCAATTGTCAATGTGGGATCCAGCTGCCTTAACCACCATGCTACTGCTGGGCACCTGAAATCACTTTCTGTCTTTATTCCATTCCCATCCAACAAACTGAATAGTAGATTTACTTTTTTCTTCTTTTTATCTTTTGTCTGTGCCTAAAAAGTCAGACCTGATCTAGCTCCATGGTTTAGTGGCTAAGGTAGTCAGATCCCACATAGCTAACTGTGCAGTTTGGATCCTGGCCCTGATGGCTTGAAAAACATGCTAGGCACATGTGTACATGTGCTCCACATCCTGATAGGATGAAGCAATGGAGAAGGGATTGCAGCATGACCATTCTCCCTCATTGAGGAATGCCTTCTTCCTTTCTCTTTCTGTCTTGGTCTCTCTCTGGAAAGTACACAGGCCCTCTGGCAAAATAAAAATAAATAAATAAAATAAGGATTTTGACCACTGAAGACCCTCTGCCCAGACTTCACCCTTCTGTTCTCAAGTCTAGCCAGGAGCCAGGTTAAGCCAATCGGCAGCCATCTATATTTGAATTCTGAGCAGTCTTATTTAGGGATTCCGACCACCAAAGACCCTCTGTCCAGACTTCACCTTCCTGCTCTCAGCTCTAGCCAGGAGCCAGCACAGAGATGGAACATTTCTATGATCACAGAGTGTTCTCCAAACAAGGAGGGACTGGCTATTGATGAATCTCAGCGTAATTTCATCCTACTCTTCAGGCAACAGCATCAACAGAAGCCCAATGCAGGTGGTGATGGTAGCAGCCAGGCGGACGACATCGAATATTACCTCTTGGTTCGGGAGAGCCACAGCTGAGAGAGAAAAGTCGGTCACCGTCTGACCGTTTCTAAGCATCTTTGAAAACAAGAGACCAAAGTCATTGTCCTGCCAGAGATTTCCAAAGGTCTTTTTTATTCCTTCAAGCTGGCGTTTCCTTTTCCCATATTGCTATCTATGTTTGCTTTGTATTCCTTACCTGTAAATCATTTTTATCCTTCGA